CATCCTAAAGGAGATCAGTCCTGGGTGTTCATTGGAAGGACTGATGTTGAAGCTGAAACTCCAATACTTTGGCCACCTGATGTGAAGAGCTGACTCATTGGAAAAGACCCTGATGCTGGGAAAGATTGAGGGCAGGAGGAGAAGGGGACAACAGAGGATGAGATGGTTGGATGGCATCACCGACTCGATGGACATGAGTTTGAGTAAACTCTGGGAGTTGGTGATGGACAGGGAGGCCTGGTGTGTGATGGTCCATGGGGTTTCAAAGAATCGGACACAACTGAGTGACTGAACTAAACTGAACCGAACTGTGCTCTTTTAAGTACCAAGAAGCTGAGCTGAAAACCCTTTGTATGTGAGTCACACTTGTCATCTTGAAGCCATCACCATAAAGCAAGGACGAGTGATGTTTTTAGGTTCTCTCAAGTAGGTTCTTAGTCTTGAATTGGTTGGAATTGAGACTGGAAATACTCTTGAGACTGAAAAGGAATGATCCAGTCTCTTGCTTGGAGGGTATCAGCCTTCTCGCATGCGTGGAGCCTGTGGGTGAAGAGAGCAGGTTGTTTCACATACAGGCTCTCCTTCAGCCCCTAACTTCAGTGTGGAGCCTCCCTCCCGCCCGGGGCTGAGACCAATGACCCCAGCCTCCAGTCCCTCTGGTTCACCCTCCCTAGAGAGTAAATATCCTGCTTCCTCTAGGGCTGGGGAGGAGTAACTTCCTCTCTAGACAGGAACCTGGGACTTGAGATCAAGTGTCAGCAAACTTTCTATAAAGGGCCAGAGAGTAGATTTTAGACTTTGTGGGCAACACTTTGGTCTCTATCACAGATTTTTCTCTTCCTCTTCCTTCTCCTCTCTCTCTCTTAAAAAAGCAAAGCAAACAAACCAAAAAACCCTTTAAAATATAAAATAAACATTCTTTGCTTGCAGACAGTACAAAAATAGGCTGTAAACTAGACAGGTCATAGTTTACCCACCCTGGTCTAGAAGATCCTTTTGGACCCTCTCAACCAACCAGCCTTTATTTCAGGCGCACTGTGCATTCCTGCCTCCAGAACTTGAAGCCTCCAATTTCTGGTCTTTAGATTTTATGATAAAACTGGAGTGGCTTCTTATAGGTGTCCCCCAACTCCAAGCAGCCTTTTTTCCTTCCTCCTCCCCTCCTCACCCCCCTGCCCCATGGAAGTTTTCCCAGGTCCTCTAGGTGAGCAACTACTTGTCTGTCTTTCTCTTTTCTAAAAGGTCTGTTTTTCTGTTTTCCTCTTGTCTCTTTCTCTGTCCTTATTGGGCCATGGCTCTTTCTTTTTTTTTCCTTCCCTTTCCCCCAGTTTACTGGGGTTTGAGAAAGGAGTGGAGATAAATGCATGTATTTAATCTACTAAGTTTAACCAGAAGCTCCCCCCAAATCCAATTTGGCTGGGTTTTATTTTTATGACTTTCTTTGATAGCACTGGGGTTAATTTTGCGTTTGTTCTCCACGTGCTCGCTTGGTGTGCCAGATGTTCGAAGAAGATGTCCTTGGGGTAGAAAAGGAGCGGCTTTAAAACTCAGTGCTGCTGAGACGCTCACAGTGGCTTAGTGTGTGAGATCGCTCCGAAGCACGGCCGTTTCTAGCCACCAGACTCTCAGAAATACAGTTTCACCCTTATTTGTGTAAACCATCAGGAGCATTTTTAAATGTTTGTCATAAACTTTGTGGCTTTTTGTTGAAAATTGAATTTAAGGTAGTAAATGAAAGCTTTTGGTGGCATGCCCCTGACTGCAGGGAGAGCCTGGTAAGTGATCCCAAAGAGCTGATCAAAGGGAGCTGCTGAACACTTTTTGCTGTATTTGTGTTTTGGGCCTTTAATCTGGCAGTGTTTCCAATTCCATTCTGAATACGGTCATGCACACGCCACCCCTGCTCATGTCTCCTTGGCAGCGTCTGGCACTGTCTCTGCCTGTTAGGGCTCAAGCCTGCCTTCACCATCCAGCCTGGATAAGGTATGAACAACAGCGAGTGTCAGAAAATAGGCATCTTTCAAAATCTTACTCATCCCACACCTTTGTTCCCATAATCAAATGAAAACTGGGAGTGAAAAGAGTGAAATGAACTGAAAATGACCACCGGTCGTTTGTGCCTAGGTTCACCTTTCCTGGCCAGCGAAGACGGTGTGCTCGGAGGGGTGATTGTCCTCCGGTCCTGCTGGTGTTCTGCAGAGCCTGACTCTTCCCCAGATAAGCAGACGCTTCTGGGTAAGTTAAACTTACACAGCACGTGGGTGCCTTTCTCTTTCCTTTTTTTCTGAGACATGGACAGATTTATATCCTTACGTTGATCATTTTAACCTGTGGGTGGGCCAGGATATTCTATTGATAGGTGTACATATCTCTATTCCACTGACCTCTCTACCCAGGTTAATGTCTACAAGGTGAATATTCATTTCAGAGTATATGATTATAGCATGTTTTCCAAATGGACTGAGAACCTAGCACCTTTACTAAAGTCCAGTATTAAGAATATCGGACCATGTATTTATCCCCTGCCTTATTTGACAGAGCATTTGAGATGATCCATAGCAGTAAACACAGTAACACAGAGAGAAGCTTCTTCCTCTTCTCCTCCCCAAAAGGAATCAGAATCATGTGAAGACCTACTGGCCTAGAAGTTCACCCTGGCTTCATGGCTTATTAGCTGTGATGCCTTCATGCATCAGTCTCACTGTTCTGTGCCACTTCCTCCTCCATATTAGAAGGATGTCTGCCCTGCCTGCTCATTATGCTGTGGTGAGGAAGGGTCCCATAAGTATCTTGCAGATTTGCAGATGTCCACCCAGATGTGTGGCTTTGTCTCTAACAACGTGCCCCATTGGGGATGGAGCCCAGCCCACCCTCCGTTCGACAGGGCACAGACTTGTGGGGGAGCCTCTACCCACAGAGGTGCCTTTTCCCAAGTCATTCATCCAGAGCGAGGGGCATTCAAAAACCCACATGAAGGTGCCACATAAGCTAGCAGGGCCCCTATATGTTATTTTTCTTTAACTGACTTTTTAATCGAATTGTATATTCACTCAGAAAAGTGCACAACTCATTATAACTATAACTGCTTGGAAAACATTACAAACTGAACCCACCCATGTGACCAGCATGTAGATAGAAGGTAGAACTTTACTATAACCCGAAGCTCCCATATAACCCTTCCCAGTCTCTACTCCATCATAGTTAATAACCGTTCAAACTTCCCCACCTTGATTAGTTCTATTTGGTTTTGTATCTTGTATAAATAGCATCAGAATATGTTTTCTTGGTGTCTGATGTCTTCAGTGAATGTTAAACCTGTTAAATTCATCTATGTTACTTGTGATGGTACTTAGTTCACTTTCATTGCTATATAGTAGTCCATTATGTACAGTTATACTACGCAGTGGTTATCCATTCTTCTGTTTTTTTTGTTTGTTTGTTTGTTTGTTTTAATAAGCACTGCAAGTCATTGTCAGGGCTGTGGTAGTTCAGCTCTTTGTATAAAATTCCTTTTATCAAGTATGGTTGACACCTGATCTGTATTGTATGATTGTTGTGAATTGCTGTAGTACAAGTCCCTTCCTATTTTGAAGTTTGATGAGTCTATAAAATAGAAAAATGAGCATTTCTTATTGAGGATAAAAATTAGTTTTTCTTTAGAAGCCTGAAGAACTTCCATAAAAATCTTTCCTCTCATTTGCCAAAGGTGGAGGGTGGGAAACACTGCCCTTTTATAGAAAATGATTCTTTCTCCACCTGATCACCAACTTCATAATTTTTCTTGCTATATTTTCTTCCTGTTTCCACCCACTATACTTAGTACCCAGGTTGTTCCTGGCCAAAAAAAAAAAATTTTTTTAAACCAAGGCAAATAGTTACTTGCTTCTTTGGTATGCGAATCATTGTTGAAACCTTTGAATATCTTCCACAGTTAGGTAGCAGGGACTTTGTCTTTGAAATATGCAGAGGGGAAATTTCCTGGTGGTCCAGTGGCTAAGACTCTGAGCTCACAATGCGGGGTGTCTGGGTTCCAGCCCTGGTTGGGGAACTAGATCCCACATGCTGCAACTAAGAGTTGGCATGCCCCAACTAAAGATCCCACATGCTGAAATAAATATCAAAGATCTCACGTGCCACAGCTAAGACCTTGTGCAGCTCCAAATAAATACATAAATAAAAATAAATATTAAAAAACAACCTTTAAAAAAATCAAATAAAATGTGCAGAGGATGTTCCTGAGCCTTCCATAAAAACTCAGAAAAAGTCTTTAGTCCTGGGAGGCAGGATAGGGGACAGTTATTGAAACTGTTTCATAGCCTGCTGCTAGAATGGAGTTTCTGTTCTTTACTGAGCCTGGGTTTTCACCCATTCAGGTTAATCCTGGAAATTGTAATTTTGTTGTTGTTTGTCCTTTCATTATTGGAGTTAAAGGTATATTTAAAGATAAGTCATAGAATTTTAGCTCATGTTAGTTTTTATCACCAAAGTAGTCATTTGTACACTGGTTCCTACTCTCCATGTCAAGGAGAAGAATAAAATATAAAGTGTTGCTTTATGAAATAAGTGAAGTCTTGCCATTTGTATGTGAAGTTTATTAAAACCTGGTGAATGCAGGCTCCTATCAGCTTCTACCAGTGATGTGGGTTTTTACATATTTTGCTTTAAGAAATTTACACATGTTCAGTATGTGGTGAGAAAGTAAATGTGTACAGAAGGATAGAAAGAAGATGTGAAGGTCACCTTCGCTACCCACTTCCCAGAGCTGTCAGCCCCTGATCCTGGTTATTCTCGTGGGATTCACCTTCACTCTGTAGAATGTGCTCCTGTTCTGTTTCTCCATTAATCAGTAACTTGCGACTCCCTTGGGGGAAAAAATTAAGAGAGAGCTCATACCACACTCCCCATCACCTTTCCTCCTGACTTTTGTGAGAACTCTAGCCTGAAGTTGTATATTTAATTTTATTGTAACTTTAATGCGCTATTTCCTGACTCATCAGCTTTTATCATCTCTTCCAACCATCCCTCACCCCTCGGACTATGTAGGCTTCTTTCCTCTTCCTCCACGATTCCCAGCCCTCACCTCAACCTCTAGCAACCATACCACTGTCGTCATGGTACCATTGCATTCTGTTCTGCAGCCAACTTGCTTTCTGCACTCTGATTAGAGTTTGATTCCAAACAGTGACAATTAGTAACCAGCATTGGTAGTGTCATGATTATGTAAATATTATTCACTGCAGATCCCAGGAGTAGAAGATTAGACCCATCAGCAAGGAAGTATCTGCCATAAGCCCCTGCTTGTAAGAGGAGAATGTTTCAAACATCAAACTCCAGTGGGTTCCTCTGTGCTTTACCAGGTTAATTGCTCCAGATCAGGCCGCAACGTAATTTGCTTCATGTTTGGCCCATGACTTCTCTTTTATCACTTTATAAAACTCTCTTGAAAATATAACTTCATCAACTCATGGCTCCTTAATGTTTGGTAATATCGAGTAACCAGGAAGGCTCAGAAGTCTTTCTTTCCTATACATCCAAACAAAACAAAGCAATTCTCCAAATTTAAAACAAAATCCAGGTAAAGAGTAACTTTCAGAGTCCTCTTGCATGACTTTGTTGTGTGTGCTTTGTCCATAAATTGTTTGAGAGAGATGGAGTTTAATTCCCTCCATTGCATAAGAATAAGTCAGGGTGACAGTCTGTGACTTCCAAGGCAAGGTCAGAAAACGTGTTAGTTCACTCACTTCAGGAAAGACCAGTGGCTGTGTCACGAGGACACTCAAGCAGCCCACGGAAAGGTCCCTGTGGCCAAAAACCGTGACCGCCTTCCATCTGCCAGCAAGGCGCTGGGGCTTCTCACCCACAGCCTTGGCCCCAGGGGAGCCTGCAGATGCCAGGATCTGGGCAGGTTTCTGGACTGAAATCTCATGTTGTTGTCCAGTCGCTCAGTCACGTCTGACACTTCGTGACCCCAAGGGTTGCAGCACGCCAGTCTTCCCTGTCCTTCACCATCTCCTGGAGTTTGCTCAGACTCATGTCCATTGAGTCGGTGATGCCACCCAACCATCTCATCTTGTCGTCCCCTTCTCCTCCTGCCCTCAATCCCTCCCAGCATCGGGGTCTTTCCATGAGAGAGGCTGGACAAGAACCACCCAGCACAGGCACTCCTGAACTCCTAGTCTGCAGAAACTTAGATAATGAAATGTTTGTCATTTTAAACCGCTTCATTTTGGCATAATTTATGCAGTGATAGATAAGAAATCAACCTCTGAAATGCTCTCCCTGCCAAATGGTCCTCTGGTTTGTCTAAAGAACTACAGGGATGAATCAGGTGTCCTGTTGCATCTTGAGGCAGCTCAGGCCATCAGGCCTTCCAGTTGCATCAGTAGATTTCGCCTCTCTGCTCTGGGAATCCTCTCGGATAAAGGTGATCAGTACCCCCTTACTTTGCAGGCCCGAATCACTCTTTCCCAGAATGTTTCTTAAGCCTCCGCAACCTCTAGGCTCCCCACCTCTATCATCTCCTACCTCCATCCTGCCTCCAGACCTCTCTCCCTCTATGACACAGGGAACCTAACCACAGCTCAGAAACACAGAAGCTGGCAGTCCTGAAGCAGAAAGGGCGAAAATGAGAACTTGACTAAATTGTGGCTTAGAGAGCCACACCAACCCCAGCGTTAGAGAGATGGTGGTCGAAAAAGAACCACAGAAGTATGTGACTGGTGTACTGCTTGTCTAAGCTTACCGTTGAAATAACTTTGTGTTATATAATAACTTTCTATGTATACTAAAATAAAGCAAAACCTGTGTCTCTTACTAATCCTCCCATGCCCCCACTTTTAATTCTTCAATGAGGACACACACACACTCACAGCCACTCCGTCCTCTTCCCTGAGAAGATCAATGGGAAATGGGAAGTAGCTTGACAGGGAAAGCCCAGCCCGATCTGGTGTTCGAGCAGCCTTCAGCGTCACCTCCTACTCGCCCTCCTTCTCCTCTGCTCGTCTCCACCGACCCGAGTTCTGGCAGCTCCAGATTGCTCTGTCTTCTTCCAGGGTCGTATCTTTCCGCCATTAATTTTCACACGCTGTTGTAACCTGTGCTGAGAAACTCCTTCTTTAAGGCTCCGCCCAGGGGGACCTCCTGGAATCCTTTGGAAGCCCTCTCCCCAGGTGTTTGTCCCTTCTCCGTGTGCTTTTTGCAGAGTGTAATCTCCAGCCTTGTAGCCGTCACCATGA